GGGGCACATCCCTGCCGGCTGCTGGCACGGCCAGATGTGCCGGGATGCAGCCGTGGGACGTGATAGGTGCCCAGGAGCAGCTGTGCCCAAACCATCCCCCTCCCTGTTCGTGGTGGGTCTCACTTACCGCTTTGCCATCGCTTCTTTCTTCTGCTTGATGTCAGCCTCCATGTCGGGCCGTGGGGGCAGCTTGTTGAGCCCTAGGGAGGATGAGCCACAGCGTGGGGTGCTGTACCCTGCTGGCAACTGTGGCCAGCGTGGGACTGCCCATGGGGTACAGTTGTCTCTGTGCCTCTCAGGCAAAAGCCTGGCACACCATGATGGCTTTTAGGTGGCCCTGCCATCATCCGTGGCCAGGATTGCACAGCCAGCTGCTGCCTCCCAAACATGACTGGGCACCACTGGCCCCTGCTGTGGGTGTGCAGGCTCAGGCTGCAGCCACAGGGGAGGTTTGCCTCACTTACCCTTGAACACACGGGTGGCCCAGCGACACTGGAGCTCAGAGATGGGCATGATAGGACCATGGGGCTGGATGAGGCCGATGAAGGCTAGTGTTGGCTTCTCCAGGTCAGGGAGGAACATGAATTTGTAGAGGGAGATCTGGTTCTCCACCACCTTCACACAGCTCTCGAGGAAGGGGAAGGAGAATCTGTATCCAGTGGCAAAGACCACTGCATCAATGTCTTCCCTGGTGCCGTCCTCAAAGATGGCAGATGTCTCTGTGAACTCCTGGATGTTTGGCTTCACCTGCACCCTGCCTGAAATGATGCGGTTGGGCAGGTCATCATTAACGGTTGGATGCTGTTCAAAGAACCTGGAAGGCACAGACAGGTCTTGTGCGGGGCCCAGGCAGAGAGACAGACAGCAGATGGGCAGCACGGGGTCAGGTACCTGGGGTGCTGCTGGGGTGCTCACCGGTGCTTGGGCTGCAGCCTGTACAGCGCATGGTTGAAGCGGGTGTTCATCTTCCTCTCTGTGATATAATTGCTGACATTTTGAGGCAGCAGGTTAAGGAGGAACCATAGGAAGCGGGTGATGTAGAGGATGTCATAGGGGTACCCAGAGTCTGCCACCCGGTGCCACACCCAGGTCCCTCGCCTGGTGCTGATGAAGACCTGGGCAAAGGAGAGAAGAGGTGGTGGCATTGCAGCATCCTCAGGCCTGGACTGGGCCCCCACAACAGCTACTACCCCCATTGAAAGGGGACGGGTGCTTGTGGCCGGGTGTTTGAGGGAGGGGTACCCACAGAGGACGGTGGGGGCTGATGGGTGTCCTCCAGGGTTTGAATAAGAAGCCCCCAGCCCTGGTGGCTCTCCCAGCACACCTGCTTGGCTGTGTGGCTCAGCTCCACTGCAATGTCAATGCCTGAATTCCCAGTGCCAACAATGACCACCTGCTTCTCCAGAAAGGGCTGCGAGCTCTTGTAGTCCCGGCTGTGCAGGTACCAGCCCTCAAACTTTTCCAGCCCTGGAAGAGAGAGAGTAGCCATGCCAGACAGGGACATGGGGCAGGAGGTGCCCATCTCCCTGCTCAGGCTGGTGGTGTGTTTTGGGAAGAGGCTGGGACCTGCATGACAAATGGGAGTGATGCAGCCCTGGTATGGTGCCCAGAGAGGTGGTGGCATCTCCAGCCTGGGATATGCTCATTGTGGCCCTGAACATCCTGCTCTGGGTTTGGGGCTGGCCTGACTTGGATCAGGGCTTGGACTGGAGACCTCCATGCTCTTGACCCAAAATGCTGCAGTTCCTGCCTGGTGCCAGTTGTGGAGGGCGGAGGAGAAGCTGGGGTATGTTCAATCCTGATAGATGCTGATGACAGTGTACTCCAGCCTGTTCCCTACCCAAAGAGAGTCTTTACAACTGAAAGTACAACAGGCTCTTTTGTCTGGCACCCAGAGGAGGTGGCCACCACCAGCACCAAGATCTCAAGCCTTGTTAGGGAGCTGGAGAGCCCAGCAGGTCCATGGCCAGCAGCTCGGGGAGCCTGGCTCTGGTGATAGAGGTGAGTTGGAAGTGGTGGCATCTGCAAGCAGGGCACTTTGCTCAGGCACTGCTGGCATGGCAAGCGTTGCCACGGACAGACCACAAAGGTGGGTGGAAGAACGGCAAGATTGTGTGGTCCCACATAGTGCATTAACTTACAGAGGTGTTTTTGGAAGCAGCCAGAGTGGCAAGGGGGACTAAAATGGAGAGCAGGGTGCTCCCAGACATGTCGGGAGCAGGTGAGCACTGGTACCTGGGAAGGTGCTCAGTGGGAGGTGTGCCTCCGTGTGGTGCCCGGTGCACACCAGCACAGCATCATAGATGGCTGCCTCTTGCTTCCCCTCGCTCTCTGTCACCACCTCCCACTGCCCCGTGGTGGCAAAGTCAGGGCGCTTGACACGCGGCACCCCACTGCCCCGTGGTGGCAAAGTCAGGGCGCTTGGACACGCGGCACACGCTGGTCTGTGAGTGAGGGAAGGGGGTGTCAGGCACGTGCACCCCTCAGCCCCACCACCCCCGGGTCCTCTGGCTCTCACCCTGAAACGGATGTGGCGGAGCAGGTCGAAGTGCTGGGCGTACATGCGGAAGTACTCCATGATCTTGGAGTTGTGCATGAAGTTGGGGAAGTCCTCGGGGATGGGGAAGTCGCTGAAGCACATCATCTCCTTGGAGGCGTTGATGATGACGGAGCGGTAGATGCTGGCACGGCCCTCCTCGGGGTGCTCCTGTGGGAGCAGGGTATGGCTTGGTGCTGGCTTGGGAAGCTGGGGCTACAGCTTTGCAGCAGGTGCCCACCTGGTGCCTCACCATGCCCATGGGCACGGGGTTAAGCCACCGGTGGTTGTAGCGTCCATCCCCACACCCGGCACCCACCCGCAGGTGGGACTTCCCACCCCACAAAATGGAGGAGGGGAAGCTTTGGATTGGCAGGGACCATGCAGTGGTGACAGCATGTCCTGGGGGTCTTGTGCCTCAGTTTCCCGGCTTCCAGCCCCGTTGAGGTGGTGTGTTCCCAAAGCTGCCTGCGGTGCCATTGCCCCTGTTACCACATCAGGTCTTGCTGGGGTTGCTGAGCCAGCTCTGGCGCTTCCAGCTGCGCAGCCGTTCCTGCTCTCTGTCTCTGCCCCCACAGCCAGGCACTGCTGCCCTCACTCTGCTCCACCAGCCCCATTTCTGACCCACCATAGGCTGAAGCAATGGACTGTAAGTGAGCCACCCCACACCTTGTGCTGTCGTGGCACTGTCCCCCCTCCCCGGACTCTCCCACCCATGTATCAGGACATGGTGTCCTGGCTGGTCTTGTCGGTGGGTCCCTGGGGGAAATGTCAGCAGCCTTGTTAGATGGGGGCAAGAAAGGAACTCCAGGGCTTCCCCCAAGGCTGGGAGAGCCAAGGCACAGAGCAGGCAGTGCTTGGTGCCTCTGCATGGGTGAGTGGCACAGAAACAGGGAGAGCAGTGACTGGAAATTCCAGGGAAGAACTGGGCATGATAGGGAGTGGGACAGCTGTTTGGGTCAGATGGGAACAGGATGTGTAGGAAAGGGCTGTAAGGGACCAGGAGCAAAGCAGCAGGGAAAGAAGTGGATGTGACCTGGAAGAAAGGGATGGGAAGAGGAATCGCTGAGCTGGGGGAGTAAGCCCTGGGCTAAGATCTTTGGGGAGGGTCCAGGACGGACCCTCCCATTGCTGCTGGTGGGAGAGAGATGGGTCCTGTGTGGCCAGCACACTCCCACTGCTGCAGTCCTGTTTTCCCTTGGAAACCTGCCTGCCATCAGTGCTGCTGCCGTGGGGCAGGCTGGCACAGCATGGGTCTTACCTCAAAGCGCCAGAGCCCCCCGATGTCCCCGCTCCTCTCAAAGCAGGTGGGTACCAGCCCCTCATCCAGGCAGCATTTCAGGGCGCACAGGCCAGAGGCACCGGCGCCAATCACGGCTACTGTCCGGGCAGCCATGCGTGGTGGGGGGGGAAGCCTTGCCCAGGAACGAAGCACTCTGAGGTGGTGCAAAGCCTGGCAGGTCACACCAGCGTGATGCACAGTGCTGCTCGGTTGAAGACACCTGTCCCAGTGCTTCTTGTGTGTGGCCAGGGCCAACTGAGATGTCTCAAGATGTGTTTCCTCCAGACATGATCTACAGGTTCCCCCCACCTCTGTGCCACGCCTCCTGCCTCCACAAATCCTCCGCAAAGGGCTCATGAGCTACAGCGATAACTAAGCAACACCGAAGCTGCCTCAGGACTTCTGGATCTGTGGATGGAGGTGTGGCCTCGCTTCACGTTTTGGCAGGTTGCGGCATGGAAAACAAAACTGGGAGGACACTCAGGGCTCTGGTGAGTGGCAGTGATGCTGGCCCTGGCATCTGATGAGTTGGTGTCCCTGTCACAGCTCCGGGTCCCCAACCCACCCATCCATCCTCTGGAGTGGTTGCGTGCAGGTGAGGAGGCTGGCAGCAAGCTGTGCTGCCGTGATGACTATGGTCAGCTCTGGTGGTGCATACCCTGGGCAAGGCTGGTTTGCTGTGGTTACACACATGGATGTGTGTGCAGCCCACCCTGCTGTGGAGCTGGAGGTGCGCTGCTGGCACGAGGCTGACCTCAAACTCGTCTGTGAGGGGGGAAATGGTGGTGTCAGTGACGGGACAGACACCTGGCTTGGTTCAACACGTTTTTATCTGGTTAAGATAAAACATCTGGTCTGCTGTGCCTTTGCTGCTGAGCTCTCGTGAGTGTGCCAGTGGTGACCCAGACAGGTTATAGGTGACAGGAAAGCTGGTGTGTCACTGCTGGATCAAAAGTGCTGCCCAAGGGGGACAGGATTTTATCCTGCATGGGAGCAGGTTCCCTTGTTCATCCTCAGCAGTGCCACCTCCCAGAAGAAGGTGCAGAGAAGGTGCCAGGACATTATTTCAGCAGCAGGGGAGGCTCTTTGCACACCAATCTCGCAGTGTGGGGTTGGCAGGGCTGTGCTGGGCAGAAGGAGGGCTCCTGCCAGCACCGGGATACATAGGCTGCCGCAGGGCAGGGGTGACTGTCCAGCCCCCCTGGCACACCACAAAACCTCCCTCCCTGCACTTGTAGGGCACCTACAAATAAGCAAATATAACTGCGAAGACGGCCACAATCCCGACCAGCTTGAAGAAGAGGGGCACAGCAGAGGCTGAAGCTTCCTCCTCCACATGCCGTGTCTGTAGGGGCTTGACCACGCGCTGCTGCTGGGTGAGGATGGCCTCCCTGGCACCTGCCCACGCGCCCGGGCCCCGCAGGCGGAACTGGTACGGTGTGCAGGGACCGAAGGCCACCTCCAGCGCCAGCCTGGGGTCGGTGAGGAAGAGGGCCAGCACGTTGGGCTTGACCCCCACCTGGCAGGCGAGCTCGTCCATGTAGGGGATGTAATCCACCTGGATGGTGTGCCGCTGGCTCTTCACGTACCTGCGGGCAGGGAGGGCGGTGGCAGAGCCGGCAGACGCCCCGCGCACCGGCCGGGCGGTGTTGGACAGATGGCCATGGGGAGGGATCAGCGGGGTGGGGTGTTGCGGCCGGGCACATCCCTGCCGGCTGCTGGCACGGCCAGATGTGCCGGGATGCAGCCGTGGGACGTGACAGGTGCCCAGGAGCAGCTGTGCCCAAACCATCCCCCTCCCTGTTCGTGGTGGGTCTCACTTACCGCTTTGCCATCGCTTCTTTCTTCTGCTTGATGTCAGCCTCCATGTCGGGCCGTGGGGGCAGCTTGTTGAGCCCTAGGGAGGATGAGCCACAGCGTGGGGTGCTGTACCCTGCTGGCAACTGTGGCCAGCGTGGTACTGCCCATGGGGTACTGCTGAGCCCCTGTTGAGACCCCCAAGGTGGGTGGTCTGGCACCCAATGCATGGCCTGACCTCTTGGGATGGGAAGGAGCATCCCATGGGGTAGTTGTCTCTGTGCCTCTCAGGCAAAAGCCTGGCTCACCACAATGGCTTCTAGGTGGCCCTGCCATCATCCATGGCCAGGATTGCACAGCTAGCTGCTGCCTCCCAAACATGACTGGGCACCACTGGCCCCTGCTGTGGGTGTGCAGGCTCAGGCTGCAGCCACAGGGGAGGTTTGCCTCACTTACCCTTGAACACACGGGTGGCCCAGCGACACTGGAGCTCAGAGATGGGCATGATAGGACCATGGGGCTGGATGAGGCCGATGAAGGCTAGTGTTGGCTTCTCCAGGTCAGGGAGGAACATGAATTTGTAGAGGGAGATCTGGTTCTCCACCACCTTCACACAGCTCTCGAGGAAGGGGAAGGAGAAGCTGTATCCAGTGGCAAAGACCACTGCATCAATGTCTTCCTTGGTGCCATCCTCAAAGATGGCAGATGTCTCTGTGAACTCCTGGATGTTTGGCTTCACCTGCACCCTGCCTGAAATGATGCGGTTGGGCAGGTCATCATTAACGGTTGGATGCTGGTCAAAGATCCTGGAATGCATAAGAAGCAATTAGTGTTCTTGTTTGGGCTGTCTCTGCTCCGTGTCCTGCTCCAGCCACTGCTCCGTGTTCTGAGGATGCTTATGCCCATGGGTGCTTCTCACCAGTGGAGCTGGTCCCAAAGGACCATTGCACTGGTGCCACCAAAGGTCCCTGGAAAAGTTAGTGGTGTGTTGCTCCCAGCCTGGGCACAGGGAGCATGGAAATGGCTGAGCAGGGCTGGACAGCAGGGAAGATGAAGGGTCCCTCCTAGGCAGATGGACTGGTTGTTGGCACCTGTGCTTTGGCTTCAGGCCGTAGTGCGAGTGGTTGAACCTGGCATTCAGCTGCTTCTCCACAATGCTGTTCACCATGGATGAGCTCAGGAGGTCCTTTAGGAAGGTGTTCATGCGGGTGCTGAAGATCATGTCTGCCGGGTAGCCCCGATCTCCAACGCGGTTGAAGATCCATGCGCCACGGCGGGTGCTGAGGAAGACCTGGGCAAAGAAGTAAGCATTGCCTCGTGAAGGCTGTGATGGTCCTGAGGAGCTGCCCAGGGCTGAAAAGGTCCTTGCCCTGGGATTGCTTCTCTTTGTGCTGTCTCATTGCTGGACCCAAAGGGCAGAGAGCTGGGGCTTGGCACCTAGGAGGGAGAGGTGTGCAAGAGCTGCAGGGGCTGCCCCAGCCTCGGGCTCAGGCATGGAAATTGGGGTATCCATGCAGGATTGGGTCTGGACTGTCACCAGTGCCTGGCAGCTGGAATTGGTGAGTGCCGGCACTGCCAAACACGGCAACTGCCAGGATGGAGCAGTGGCTCTGCCACCACCTCGGACCTGGTGTCCTCATAGAGCTGGCAGTGTCCTACTGGGGGCTGCCCTGCCCACCAGGATCCCAGTCCTGCTGCTCACCTGCTTGGCTGTATGGCTGATCTCCACAGCCAGGTCTGACCCTGAGTTCCCTATCCCGATGACAACGACCCTCTTGTCCGCAAAATCCCGTGCATCCTTGTAGTCTCGGCTGTGGAGGTAACGGCCCTTGAACTTCTCAATTCCTGTGGGCAGGGAGGAGGGATGCTAGGCTTCCTGGCACTGGACTGGAGGGTCACCTCCCCAAAAACGAAAGAGGAGATTCTTCATGGCCCCTCCAGACCCCTTCTGGGGAGCATAAAAATGCTCCAGCCATCAAAGGAAGGCAGGAAATTGCTGGGGTGAAGAGGAGGAGCAGCAGGGAGAATAGGGATTGGCAAAGCTGAGTTTTCAGGAGCACCCTTGTGCTGGGGTGCAGGGTGGTACCTGGGAAGGTGCTCAGTGGGAGGTGTGCCTCCGTGTGGTGCCCGGTGCACACCAGCACAGCATCATAGACGGCTGCCTCCTGCTTCCCCTCGCTCTCTGTCACCACCTCCCACTGCCCCGTGGTGGCAAAGTCAGGGCGCTTGGACACGCGGCACACGCTGGTCTGTGAGTGAGGGAAGGGGGTGTCAGGCACGTGCACCCCTCAGCCCCACCACCCCCGGGTCCTCTGGCTCTCACCCTGAAACGGATGTGGCGGAGCAGGTCGAAGTGCTGGGCGTACATGCGGAAGTACTCCATGATCTTGGAGTTGTGCATGTAGTTGGGGAAGTCCTCGGGGATGGGGAAGTCGCTGAAGCACATCATCTCCTTGGAGGTGTTGATGATGACGGAGCGGTGTCACCCCACCAGCCACCACGGACCCCCATGGGGCTGCCCCCCAGCAGGAAGTTTGGTGGGCAGGGTTTACCTCAAATCTCCAGAGCCCTCCGATGTCCCCAGTCCTTTCGAAGCAGACGGGCTCCAGCCCCTCTTGCAGGCAGGTTTTGATGGCGCACAGCCCACTGCTGCCCCCTCCGATGATGGCCACCTTCTTTGCCATGTTGCCCTCCTCCACCACTGGGTCTCTGCGTCGGGACAGCCCTGAAGACTGGACCTGAAAGGCAAGAGGTTTTGCTGGGCAACATTTTTGTCCTGTGTACCAAAGAGTTCCCAAACTGAGAGGCAGCCCCCCAGAGCTTGGCTGGGGCTGCGAGGCAACTGTCACAGCCCCCAAGGCAGGGACGTGGCCAGTGCTGGGGTTTTGCATCACCGCGGTATTACATCTGGATGCTGCTGAAATCTCCCTGCCCTGTCTAGTCCCAGTGACGGAGACGTGCAGGAACGCCCTGCCGGAACGCTGTGCCCTGCTGCAGGCACTAATGCCTCCCCCCCCGGTAGGCAACGGCCCCTTCGCCTGCCCATTCCTTTCCCCAGGAGATGCCCGTCGTGCCGCCCCGGCACCCGGGAAGCCTCAACCGACCTGTAGCCGAGGGAAGCAGCCTGGGAAGGCCGGCAGGGAGCCGAGCGAGGGTGTTTGCTGCACTTCCCTGAGCTGGGACGCCTGCTCTTTTCGCACTTGGCAAAGGCGAGCGGAGCCTCCCCCTCCGTCACTCCTCCTACGGAGCCCGGCAGACCAGGCGGACTTTGCTGGCTCCCAGTCGCCTGCTCTGTTTTCCCTCATCAGCTGTCGCCACAGCCTGGGACAGCAGGGCAAGGAGCCATCCCAGGGGCTTTGCCGGGATCTGTTGCGCAGGAACACTGAAGGGACAGGGGGTTGCCGGAGAGGCAGGGATGTGGCCAGTCCCCGTGGCGTGCACGCCGGGTAAACAAACGCTGCCCTGACCCACCTCTTCCTGGATTATCAGGATCAGTCCAACCCTGTGTATGCTGGGACCGGTGGCACCCAGCACCGCATTGCCCGTGTCCCCTGTGCACCTGCGCTGGGCAGGCTGGCACAGCATCCTCATAGCCGCGGCTTGCTCCGGGACCGTCAGCATCCCAGGGTCAGTGGGACCCCTGTGCCAGGAACACTGCCGTGTCACTGGTGCCAGCGTGGTGGGATTGGTGAGGAAAAGGCTCTCCCCACAGCTGGAGGTACCGACCCAGTGGCCGGGGAGCAGGCTGCTGCCTCCTGGCACACTCAGCCCTCGGTGGCTGCAGGGAAATTTGCTTTCCTGTGTCCGAGGAGCTTTGCCCCGCCTTCTAAAACTCATAGCATGTTTGCAGCGTGTGTAACAAAGCTCTTTCTGTCCCTCGCTGTTGGCGGGGGCTGATCTCTGCCTGGGGGCACAGGCGCTGAGCTGCCAACCCACGCTCTGCGCCTGCCTGTTGAAAAGCATCGAAAGCGTCTCTTACCAGGCGGGGGGATCGGCACGGGGATGGCGAGGAGACAGCGCTGCCCTCCCTGCTGTCAGCCGGACTCTGTCTCTTTTGCAAGCTCTGCAGGTATTGCCCAGGGGTGACAGGTACCAGGGACTTATCCCAGCTCTCCACCTTCGAATTTGCCCTCTGGGCTAAGTCCTGGATTTTGCCCCTGCTGTGCTCACAGAGAGGTCAGGCACAGGGGACCATGCGTGTGGAGCAGGGTCAAGCCATGGCGTTTTGGTCAAGTCTGACTTGTTGACATCCACAGGGGAGCCAAGGTCCCCCATGCCTGGGAAGCACCCCAGATATACAGTGTGGTGGGCAGTGCATGCAGTCTGCTCAGGGCTTCTGCAGCAGGCAAAGGTGTTGGGGGGCAATCCAAGCACAAAGCACCAGTCTCCTCCTTCCTATCAGTGTGCTCAGAGGGGCAGTGCCAAGTGACAAGCACAAGAGGAGACCAAAGGTCTCATTATCTGAGGTGTGGAGAAGCAGAACAGAGGTAAGAGGGTGACAGGGCAGCCTGTGAACCAATGGGCATGGCTGGTGTCACCAACCAGCCCATGAAGGGTTCTGCAAGTGAGCCAGGAGCAGCTTTTGGCATGCACATGTGTGTGAGAACAAGCCACAGATGGACAGAATTGCTGCCATACTCCTCTGTGGCCTGGAGAGGAAGACCCCAACACCTATGAGAACCCCTTGGGTGAAAAGTGCCCCATGTTTGGGAAAAAGTGGACATGAGATAATTTGGCCACCTCCCCACCCTGTCTCTGCCTTGGCATGGGAGGACTGGCTGGGTGCTACTAAGCACACACTAAAAACTGGCCCAACCAGCTGCTAGGCATGGGGTACAGCCCATGGGATTTTTCTTTGGTTGTTGAAGTGCAAAGCCACAGCTGGAAGCTTCACTGGGTTACCATGCTTGGCTCTGGGGGAACCTTGTCATGCCAAATGCTTCCATTTCAGCCCCTTTATAACTGGGGTTGGGTGACAGACAGAGGTGAGGTGCTTGTACTAGCAGTCCTCAGGTTGCTCCTGTGCACTTGACCCAGAGGAACAGTGCACTCAAACACTACATGGTTTTAGTTCAGCTTAATCTCTGCTTTCCAGGGCCTGAGTGTAAGAATAGACCTTAACAGCCATGAGGAGCCTCACCTGGACCCAACCACCTCCACCCACAGCACTATTTAAGCTCAGCCTTTGCTCCTTGTCTGGCTGTGGTCCCTCTTGATGTGAATTCTGGTTTTTTTGGCTCAGTCTCAGCTTTGGCTTATTCCAGATGGTCTCCTCCTGCCAAGAACAAGCAGTTCTCAGTGAAAAATGGGCTGCCAGGACCAGTGGTGCCAGGGTAGGACAGCCAGCCTCCCAAGAGCACAGGGAGCTGTGGTGATGATGGTGGCACAGCCAGCGCCTGTTGCTGCAGGAGGGGCAGGTAAGGCTCAGCTCCAGGGGCTGTCCAGCAGCCCTGGGGGGTTGTGCTGCTGGGCTGTGGGGAAGGGACTTGCTCTGCAGCATGGTCAGCAGTGCTGGTAACATGCTGATAAAGTGGAATTGCTGTGAGCGTCCTGTACCCCCCGGGGAGACTGAAAATCCTGTGGAGGGGAAAAGGAACTGTGAAGCTCTGGGTAAGGGCTTCAGGAGCAGGCTGCTGCTGCTGGGAGCTGCTTCTTCTGTTATGCACTGTCTTGGAGATGGCATGGATGGACCAAACCCTGGGTCACAACATCCTTTCCCCATGGCTCTGGGAACCAGGCGCCTGTGTCCTTATTGCTCAAGGTCTGGCCTCAGGGTGGTACTTAAATGGAGAGCATTAGGAAAGAGACACATTGTTTAGGAAGGTGGAGCTCTTTTTGAACCTGAGGAGTCACCAGTGAGTCTCCTCCAGACAGACACTATGGAATAGGCTGTGCACACTCGCGACAACAAGTGATCAGTATATTTACAGCATACAAATACATGGACAGTCACAAAGAAACCCCTGCAAAGCCACAGCTACCACATACACCATGGGCTAATGCAGCAGGTGCCCAGCAAGGGTGTGCAGATTCACAGTATCAGCAGTGAGCTACCAGGTGAATGTGCTGAGCCCTCCTTGGGCTCTGCAGAAACTGGTTTTTCATGGGAGAACAGTCAGTGCAGCTGCTTGGCCAGTGCACACCCTGCCTGACAGCTCATCAGGAGGGCAGGACAGCACCAAACATCTAAATGTGGGCCCCGGAACCTTCAGCACCGCTAGTGTTGAAGTCTTGACTAGACCTCAGCGGGGTCTAGGATGGGAGTTCAAGTCCCAGTGTCCCTTCCCTGTGCGTGCTTAGAAGACCAGATGCACGCGTCCTCCTTTGGGAGGGTCCCAGCCATCAGTGGCTCCAGAGGGCAAAGAGGGCCGGGGCGCTGAGCGGGGACAGCCAGCAATACTCCACCACGCTGTACTGCGCGTAGCCCAGCAGCAAACCAAACAGCACGTCCGTCACGTTGTGCCTGCCCAGCATGACCCTCGAGAGGCCGACGATGAGAGCCCAGAGCACCACGAGGACCCGCAGCGGGACGGCCAGCACCAGGTGGTGCAGGAGGAAGCGGCAGACCAGGGCAGCTCTGGTGGCGTGGCCTGAGGGGAAGGAGTACTTGTCCACCGAGACGGTGACGAACATGTCCATCTGGTTGTGCGTGGGCCGCGGCCGCCTCACCAGCCCCTTCACCACTGCCACCAGCACCAGGTCCAGCAGCAGCGCTAGGAGAGAGCAACAGAGTGAGCAAGGCTTGGCTTTGGGTTTCTGTGCTTTTTTTTTTCCCCCCTTTGTGGAAAATGAGGCAAGAATCAAACCCAAGCCACTAGCTAAGAAGGCGGCACTTGGCTACAAAGCCTGCTAGGATTAGGCAGTGTTTCCCATGACTACAACGTGCAGGTAGGGAGAGCATGGCACTCATCCAGTGCTTGGCTGTCTCCAGCAGAAGCACAGCCTCAATCTCTGCTCTTGCTGCATGCAGCCCCTCTGCAGCTCCAGACCCTTTGCCTGTCACAGCGAACAGGGCTCAGCCCTACTTGCACCCAAAGGCTTTCCCCTCTGTGTAAAACCTGACCTCATCGTGACTCGGGGCTCAAACTGACCCCTCAACCAAAGGCAACAGAGGTGTTAATATCCCCCCCAGCTCCCTTCCTGACAGCCCATGCTGACTCAGCATTGCAGTGCTACCTTCCTGGCTCAGGGACCAAACTTGACTGGGTGAATGATCAACCCCCTTCAACCACAGCTCCAGGTGTGGGGCTCTGAGCCTGTGCAGTGCCAGGGCTCTTGCCATCCAGCTTCCCCCTGCTGCTGGGGGACTAGCTCACCACACTTGGGTTTGCAAGAGCTGGCTGAAGGATGGTGGCTTGTCCCCAGAGAGCTAAAGGCTGTTGTGGGAGAAGTCAGAGGCAAAGCAGCTATGAGAAGTATTCAGCTGGTATTTGGCAAGAGCAGCTTCTCCCATCAGGCAAAGGGTGCTGCCTCCACCCCAGTTAGCCCTGCTGGCACAGTGCTCACAGCCAGGGCTGCTGTTTTCAAGGAATTCTTGTGAGAGATTGATGTCTGTTTGTTTCTGGACACTACATCTTTCAGTCACTTAAGTTCATTTACTTTGGTTAATCATTTAAGAACAAACATTTCCCAACCACATGTAAACCTCGTTCAATTGCTTTTCCTCTGTCCATATGGTTTGGGAGATTCAGCTTGGATACTAGAGAATACTTCTTCCTCATGTGGCTGCTGGGACCCTGGGACAGGGCCCTGGAGAGCTGGGTGGCTCTGGCCCAGAGTGCTGGGGGCTGGACAAGGCCCTGGTGCTGGGACAGGCTTCCCTGGAGCAGAGGTTAGGTTGGAGGCCTCCAGGTCCCTTTCCACAGCTCTGCTGTGGGACTGTAATGTAGCCATGTGCTCCTAGGCACAACACCATCTGTTTCCCACCAAGCAAATTTCAATTCCAGTGTTGTGTGAGAGAGCAATTATTTGCAACTTAAAAGAGCTAGGAGGAACCTGAAGAGGTCTGTTGCTCTGGAGCTACTGCAGTGAGCAAAAATGAAGAATCCAAGTGTATCTAATAGGATGGGATGCTATAGAGGGAGAATACTACATCACACAAAATTAAAATGCATGCTTTAAATCAGGTTTCCTCACTGGCTGATACAGATCAATTCATGCAGGTGCTGCCCACAGGGAGCCAAAGGATGCACTGGCTAATCTGTGCCAGATGAGCTTTTCAGGCAACAGGTTGGTGTCTCAACACCAGGCAGCTGCACCTGGAATATGGAATAAACTGAAGATAAGCTGAAGAATTAAGAGAGTGTGGTTCCCTGGCAGACTTATGCAACTGCAGGAGCAGTTCAGCTGTCAGGGGTTTCAGAGTGTGTGGCTGGAGCTGTGAGGTCAGTGACACCCATGCCACCACACCCTTTGGCTGTGTGGTTCTTTGCTGTGGTCCCAGGCACCCCAGATGGGCCAATTCCTCAGCTGGCTCCCCTGGGGCCATAGGAGGCTGAGGTTTACTCAGCTCTGTCTCATTGTTCAGGGCCCATCCTCCCCCCTTGGCTCCAGCCAGCAGAGCCTGTGGGTGAGCCCCCTGCCTCACCGAAGAGCAGGTTGAGCAGCACCTCCCTGGCCGCTGAGCTGTCACTCTGGCAGAGCCCGTAGAAGGTGCCGAGCAGCCAGGGGATGCCGTGCCCCGACACCTCGATCACCTTCATGAGGGGCCGGGCGCTGCCCCAGGCCGAGCCCTCCCTGGCACAGACGCCCAGGCGCTTGGAGGCCCAGAGGTCGATGGCGAGCAGGGAGCTGAGGGCGATGCCCAGGAAGGAGGGGTTCAGCTTCATGCAGTCCTCCTCGGGCAGCGGGGCTGCTGTGGAGCTGCCAGGCTCCCTGCGGCGTGACGGGCTGTCCGGGGGGCCGGGGCT